ATTGCAAGAATACAAAAGACAGCTCTGTATCACTTTCGTCGATCTACAGAAAGCCCTTGACTCAACTGAGATAGAAGCAGTCATGTAAGCCCTTGATAGTCAAGGAGTCCCTACTCAGTACCTAAAGATTCTTCGTGAGCTGCATAAAAATTTCACAACCAAGATTTCACCATTCTACAATGATCCTAATATCGTACCATCTCGGCAAGGTTATTCATTGCGACCCTCCATAATGACGTGTGAACACTGGAACGAGACAACATGCGAGTGAAAATCGATGGTCTCACTAACTAAAGCTCTAAATATCTCACTAACTAAATCTCACAAAACGATGTTCATGAGGAACGGATTGATTTCGTATGCCCCACTCATGCCCAACGAAACGAATATCTCTGAATGCTCCAGTTACGTCTATCTAGGTCGAGAAATCAACATGATGAACGACTGAGCTACAGATCTCAGCAAAACCAAACGAACGGCTTTGGGAGCTTTCAGGAGCATCGAGGATGTACTGAAGAGAACAAAGAACAACCGACTCCGTGCCCACCTTTTCGACTCAACGGTACTTCTTGCGTTAACGTATGCGTCAGGANACCTGGTGGCTGCGTAAACAGGATGAAAAATCATTCAGCGTTATTGAACGCGCAGTCTAAAGGACGAAGCTAGGAATATCCCGTTTAACGCAAGTAAGGGAAGGGGGTCCGAAGTTCCAACCTGCGTCAACGATCAAAAATTAAAGGTGCCGTTATGTACGCCAAACAGTCGAAGAAAGGTGGGCCGGACACGAAATGCGTATGAATGACAACCGATGGACTAAAGCTGTTAGTGACTGGATTCCCCGGGATATCAAACGTACTGCGGGAAGATCACCGACTCGATGGTGAGAGTTCTTCACGAAAAGCTTAGAAGAATGATATAATGCTCAACTAGTGCCTAGACCGAACAGAAACCACTGGGCTACTACTGCACGCGGCAGGAAAAAATGGAAGATTTAGTATGTATTCTTTCTTGATAAGCTTGCACGAGGTTGATAAATATATTTATTTTCGGGTAACGTTTCGACGTCTTTGTCTTCCTCAGAGCCGATGATCCGAGCCGATGGTCCTCGCTTGTTACTCGTCCCGACGTGGCAGCTTCGCCTTCGTGTCGAGTCAGGTCTTCTTCACTGAGCCATCTCCTCGAATAGCCATCTTTCGGAAGATTTAGTGTCGCCCGCTCCAGTCACTCGACGATCAACGGCACTACAGGTGATACAGGTGATGACAGAAATGAATGAAAGCATATTTGACCTACAGAATGATTTACGTACGCTTTGAGTGTTTTATCCTCTTAAACAATCGCTTGATTCAGCTTAGGTGCGAGATCGAACCAGCGACCGATAAATTATGTATGATAGGGCACCTCTAAACATTGCGCTACAGGCGCCAGTAGTTCCAGTAATTGATATAAAATTTCACATCTACAACTTTACAATCCAATAAAGAGCTTATGGTATGCAAAATCGCCATTAAGCCTTCCAACATTTCACCATCCTTGATGAAGCGTTACACCATTAGAATAGGTGAGACGATATCTTTAAAATTTGGAAACTCCTATGTGCGTATAGTGTGAAGTCTCCTTAATTCCAAAATGTTAGTCTAATATGGAATGAAGTAAGCCCTACATAAATTATGGACAAATTATCCAGTTGTTTACGCGACAAACTAAAAACTAAGCACAATGATGCTAAGATATTTGCAAGCAAAGGCCTCAATGGTGCCGTGGATAACCCATGAGCCGCCGAAAAGGTAATGGGTTCGAATCTGGCCAGGACTCCAAGCTTTGCAAGTATCTCAACAACATTGTGGTTGCATTTCACATAATACCCTGCCGTGAAAAAAAATACTGAGCAGTAAATAAGATGATAAAGTAAAGAGTAATTCAATAATACATACTTACAATAACCTAGCGACACTCCATAGAGTGAATGAAAATGACTTTATAATCAACGCCTTAGATGTTCCCTGTAAAGTATTGATGAGGAGATCAAGAATAAGCTCATCCTCACTTGAAAACGACGAGAACTACGGATGGGAAACGTAAAAAGCCACCACAAATAAAACCGTTCTATCATAAACAAATAAATTTAAGGTCCAGTATTATTAGGTCCGACTAGTGTGCACTTAATAGTGAGTTTGATGAACCGTTCGCATTTAAGAGGTAACAACTGTTTAGGTCTGAGAATAGATGCTCGTTTCCTTAGCAGATTTAACCATAAGCTGGAATTCTTATACAGAGGGGAAAAAACACGGCGCTTTAGAAAACAATTCAGTGTTTCTCGTCTAAAGCAGACCACCATAGGTTATTTGAAGGCGCTTCACAACAAAACTAATCATAAACAGTTACCTCACACCATTAGAATGAGTCCTTTATAGCGCTAGTTTCAAAGACGGTACACCAAAATCGCTCAAATTTCAGAGTTACTCAAGCACAATGCCAAGATTAAACAAGGTTGTGATCAAGACCCGTATATTCATGCAAGCAGTCGTAACTCATAAGTACATGTAGAGGAACAAATGCATTCGATGGTGATCAAACGACGGTTTCGCTTAATCTAGGACTGAGCAACGCTTCAGATAACTCTCGTGATGTGCATGAGAATGAAATTGGTCACCTCATACATATGGAAATGAGTCTACGCAGATCTTCGGCGTTAACTAACAACTAGAGAGATTTTTGATTCCCACTGGATAAAGAGAAACCGAACCAGACACCGCTCATTGCCAGATAAAGAAGAAGAGAGTCAGCTGACAGCGATAAAACGGCTTTTCACTGCACCTTCTTATCGTGGTTCTGAATGAACATGGATATTGTGCAGGAATTTCATCTTCACCACAGTCGAAACTGCTGTTACGTTGGACATTTCCATCGATTGGCCTATCTGACTGCAAGCCTAAGCCAGGAGGAATCACTGCCACCACCACGAAATGAAACTAGTCGAAAGATAGTAAAATAGATAGTAAAATAGAATAAAGATAGCAAAATAAAAAACACTTTTTCACTTCATTAGGGCAAGGAACTACCTAAAAACACTTGGAAATGGTGATCTTGCCACTACAGTGAAAAAACAAACTTACTGCGTCAGAAAAACACACGCCAAATAAAAATGCGTTGAGGTGGTCATCTCTTTCCTAATGAAATCCAAGTAAGAAAGAGGCGAAAGTAAACTTTACCAGCCAACTTTACCAACTTTACCATCCAATTTGCTTTGCGATCCATTCGACTTCGATATCTGTATCTTCGCAGAAGGGTAAAGATTTTTCCGATTCGCCATTCAAAGAAACACCAGGTTTTTTTGCACCAGATTCCCAATTAACTTGCAATTTCTTCCTCCTTGATAAAAAGAATAAAGAATGAACCCCTCGGCGTTGATCTAACCCTGAGTGATACGCCATGCATTCGACCCTATTAAGCATTGCTGGAGGAGATTGAATGCACATCTGACCTAGAGAATGATTCGCAGTGGCCTACCGATGTGACGAGCCAATGCGACTATCCTCTTAGACAAGTCTCGTACCAATTTGCCGACTTCGGAGGAATGGAGGGCTTGGTCAGCCACGGGTGCGGGATCGATCCCATGTGTGTATTGCAGGGTACCTCCGACCACTGTGCCACACATACCACGATTCCTTTTTATAAGATCAAGTAATTTCTCCCCGCAGTGCGCACTTGTGGAGGTGACCACGCTATGGCAATACAACTACGCTTCACGTACTCCACTGATCTGCGACCATTTCATTTTGGAAAAAGTTGCCATTTCAGTTACAAGTACTTGTAACTCAAGAGAAGTCGGACATTATTGCACGATGGTTCCACAAGTCGCTAAGAATTATAACACCCTCAACAACCTTATCAATAAATCAACATACTGACTATCCATGACCAGGATAGATAATGAATAAGCCCTTACTGACGCACTGACACTTGAACGGTCCTGCCTCACTGCTTCTGTGGGTCCCAGCATAACCTTCAATTCCAGGAGATTTGCTGGTTAAGCCATTTTGGTCCTGTGGAATCCTGAGGTCAGCCTGGCCAAAGTCTGCTCCAGGTTTTCACCACTACAGGCAGTCGCAGCCCTTGTGGATCAAAGGAAGATTTGCCACCATGCGACTTTGATACTAGGACGGTGGTGGATCTTGGCGTCGGTTTACTCTTAGCTAGGCTTCCTTATGGGAACGCCGGACTCCTTCTCAGCTTGGGAGACCCTACCAGGGAACGGATCTCACCGCTGTACATCACAGTCTGACACCCAGGAACACCCAGCCACGATGAGGAGGTAAACCGTTGGGAGAAATAAGCCATCATTGAAACCAGAAACTAAGCATGATACTATGGAGAAAACATAGTGATAAAAGATGCATTCGGATTTTCTGCAGAGACAAAGTGCACTATTTACAAGCTATTATCTGATAAGGCATATAAGACTGCATGCCAATGTAGCTATGACTTAGGAAGAAAACCTCTCCGAAGAACAAATGTGGTCAATAAATGACTTGAAAGAGCCAAAAAATAACCATCCTCCACAAAGGAAAAAAGGACGTGCAAGAAATACATATTGATGAAACCCTGAGTTCAATACACAGGATAGGGATACTAAGAATTATCCAAGAAGTACTGCCGCAGCTAGCGTTTGATATGCGCCTTGTTCCAGCCCATACATGAAGAGAAGAAACCACAAAATAACTTTACTATAATCATATACACCAAGAACGAATGAAGAAAAAAGGTATTAGACTATTCCAAAACAGTAACAAAACAATGTAATGTGCGAAATCAAACTTATTAAGTCCTTAACAATTAAGATTCAACAACTGTTAACACCAATATCGCATGTTCCTGGATTGTGAGCCACATTCTCACAAGGCTTTCTGCGACTATCAATAGCCACATAGTAAAATATGCAATACCTAATAACTGACGCAGTCTTCTGTTCCAAAAACGACTCAAAGAATCACAGAAAACTAAACAATGGGAATTGTTTTGATTTGGCCAACGCGTTCTCTTGCAATCTGGAAAATAAGTATTTGAGCAAAATTGAGAAGGATTAAGAGATTCATAGTAGATATATTGAAAACCATGATAAGAGATAAGTGAACCTTTCTGTGTTCTTCTGCAAACGCAAGCTTATTTCCTTTCTTTTCCTGCCTACGTTGTCGTCGAGTTTCCTTGATCGCTTGCTTCCGAAGGCGGCGCTGTTCAGAAGTTTCACTTTTAGGCCTGTAGAATACGATATAAAGTTTCCAAGTATTAAAAAAAAGATAGTTCGCCATTTAAGTTAGTTCTCAGCATTTTAATCCCAATCAGGAGTTGTGAAGAAACAAATACCGCGATAGGTAGCTGAAAAATTGCTCATTTCAAGTCCCTTTCCTTTTCATTTCAAAGTCATTCTGACAGTCAAGTTCCAAAATGGAATACTGGAACTGACAAAGGAAACCAAGATTTTAGTAGGTGTTCCAAAATTACAGAATACATAAGACAAAAGAACTATTCACCTATACGTAGACACCTTTGAGCATTGACTCATGTTGTCGTCAAGACACGTTTCCATATCGCACACTTCCGTGTCATCTATTTCTTGTGCCGCTCGATCAAGGGACTTAAGGGCACGGCGAGATAACTTGCCACTTTTAGGATCTTAAATATGTCAATTTCAAAAGCTCACTCTTCTTTGGAAAGTGTTATTTCCAAAATCAATTAAAACATGTTTACTTTGAATAAGAGTCGGTCGATTGTAGATGTTTGTACATTGTGTAGCATAAGATTCACAATCCCACTTCAATCTCTTGGATGATGACTCGTCGATCTGGAAATATATAGAGATGATCTAGACCAGCAACGAATTATAGCATAAAAAAAGTCCACAAAACAAACACAAGAGAAAAACATTATGCATACTCAGCAACTGCGAGGTTGTTAAACAGTATACGTTTACTTCCATACAATAACACACTTAGGCAGAATCGCCATCTTCAGAGCCGTTTTTTTCACCTGTCTTCCACCGAGGAACAACAGTTGCTTAGAATCGCGTATGGATGACGACTACATCTTCCCAGATCAACGATCGATATGAAGGTACGGCGCGATATCATGTGTGATCTCGGGGCATTCCTTCCTGCTATTCATTGTAGGATTTTTGGTATTTATCCAAAAAGCCCCAGAAGTTTGCGCGTTGGTGTTTTAGGACCCCGTGCCAGGATAGCGACTTTTATATCAAAATCGTCTCCGCTATGCTTTTGTATCCTATGCGTGCCTAGTGGAGTGCCCTGTCTTGCTTTTCGTTTGCCATCGAGGTGTTCTTTATGCGGATACATAAAGGTCTGCCCATTTCGCCAATATATTCGTCTCCGCAAGTATTACAAGAGATCAGGTATAACGTATCTGAGCTCATGCAGTCACCATCCCTGCCATGGTTGCGTAAGTGACGTGAGTTGCGTATTAGTGCACCCTTGCGGGCTCTAAAGAAAGCGATTCTGCCGAAACGTCAGCTACGATTGTGTTGTCTGTGTGTTACTGTATGGAAGCAAACGCATGCTGTACAACCTCGCGATTGTTGAGTAAGAAAACGACGAATTTATAATCGAAAACCGAGGTTAATAGAGACGATCGTGGGAAGTATGCATACTCTCTACAAAGATGGAATAACCACAAATTTTGGTGATTTATTTCGAAAAAGCGAAAAGTCTCTGTCAATAAGCATAATGATGCTGAGATATTCGCAAGACACCCGAATGCTAGTGCCTGCGGTGGGGATCGACACGCTATTACCCTTTCCGGAGGATAACGCGTTCATCACCACACCATGAGGGTCCTTCGTTTCGCTTGTCTCTCAGCAGTGTTACTGACATATAGGAGCGATCAGCAATCACTCATCAACGGGGAAAAAGAATAGGCAGTAAAAAAAGTGATATTATGTCATTAAGTTTACACCTCAACATTCTCCATGGTATCGTCTTTCACAACATTAGCTTCAACGAGTCGCATGCGTTGTCTCGTCCACTCTTTTGATGCCTAAATTTCGAATACGAATATCTGAAAACGAAACATAATGGTTTTGATGACAGTCAATTACCTCTTCATCATCTACAGGCCCTCTGTTGCTTTCCTTAATCATCCGCTTTACTCTTTCATCTGTCGGTTCGAGAACACCGCCGACTAGATGATCACCGCCGTCTAATTCACCCAATTGATCATAATGATAATCAGCTTCGAGCAATTGGTCGAACCTCTCATCAATTTCTCGTCGAGGAGCATTACAATGTAACTAAGCGTTAAGAAAATAATCAATTTAAAGTAGCGCCAGCAAGCAACTTGACAAAGTGCTGGAAAACTAGTTATACTGAGAATAGGACAGACCGCGTTTTGATCCCACTCTTCTTCAACACCATTATCACTCCCATCATAGTTATAGTCATCAAAGTCGGAATCATCGTTCTGAAAAAAATGATAGTACAGAAACCAAACAGCTGGGAAAAAAAAGTGTACGCAATAAACCGCAGATTGGCGTGGTCGCCTGTAGTTAGTAAACATTCGGACTAGTTATTACCAAAAATCGAACAAGATAAAAATGAAATCTACGGGAAGAAGTGTTGAATGCCAAAATTTATCAAGCTTTTGGTGAAAATATTTAATTTAACTATAATGAGGAACTCCCTAATACCACGGATCTCCCTCATACGAGGGATCTCAAGCCGGTTAGTCGCGAGGCTACGTGGTGCGTCCCCAGGTGACGGATAGGCGGTCAATCACGACCAAAAGTGACCTTACGCTTTCCTGAGATGCACGTGGATCCAAGGGATGGACTCCATGCTTCTGCTACGCCGATTTGGCACATACTTTCTGTACTTAGTAGGCGTATTCATGCATACGTGTGTGGATGTGTTCTAGCTTATGCGGAACGTATTCTACGAGTCAATTCGGCCAAAAGCCTGCAATCAAGTGACAGCGAAGTAGACGGGGGGCGGTTAGGAGTCGCCTACAACAAATAAGCTACATGTCAACTCTGGGAGAGCCTGGCAAGCTACCCGTGAGTATCAAAATGCTGAACACAGTAAAAAAAAAACCGGGTCTCATCCCCCTGATCCTGAAAGGGTCCCCAATTCGGCAGCGTTGGGTAGGACGAGTACGTTGACGCTGCTAAAATCTCAGGGCAAATGGGAGCTGCCTGGGTTGCAAAGAACTAAGGTGAAAATCTGTACCCACAATGCACGTCCACTTGCATCCAAGTCCTCGATAGAAGACTTGCTCATGGAAGTAAGAAGCATAAGGCACGAAGTCATCGGCCTGGCCGAAACGAAACGACGCCACCCATTCAACGCCGTCTATGACACCGGAGAAGAACTGTTCCTCGGAAAATGCAACAGTAGAGGAGTCGGCGGCCTCTACGTTCTCGTCAACACGAGTTCGTCCATGAACATAGATTCGTCCGAACAACATACAACTCGAATCGGAACGTTTACGATTAAAAAGATGTGAATCAATTCCGGCTTTGACAATCTTCGTCGTTTACGCGCCGGCATCAAACTATGACGAAGGAGAAGTCGAAGCGTTCTATATGGACTTGGAGAAGTTCTACAGAGAAGACCATTCTTCAAGGTCATCATTGGAGATTTCAACGACAAAATTGGACCAAAAAGAACGTTTGAAGAACTTCACATTAGAACCCACGGATTGGAATGGAATAAGCAGAATGAGCGGCCGTCTGAGTTTATCATGGCGACCAAAACAACCCATGGTAACTGACAATTTCAGAAGCTCCACCCTCGGCGCTGGACGTGGGAGTCCCCCAATGGAGAGTACCATAACGAAATAGACATCATAGTAAATAGAAGGTTTTGGCTAGCCGATGTCGCTGTGGTCCCAAAATTCTACACGGGATCAGACCATCGTCTCCTCCGTGCAAGATTCTATTTCTCGCGAAAAGTGGAAAAGGCCACTAAATTCAAAAACCGAAGTCCCAAACCACTATAAACAGAGACCTACTCAACTAATTAGTTAGCTATTGGGAAGATACCGTTGCCGATAACATCGAAAAAGAATACGATTGACTCATTCAACATCTTCATGCTAGCGCTATGAAAGCTGAGAGTGCGAAAGCCACCAAGAGACGACGTCTGTCTCAAGAAACACTCCAGCTGATACGCCAGCGTGGAATCGCACGCGCTGCAGGCAACCGCGAATTAACGTCCAAACTTGCAAATCAGTGCAGACAAGCGATAAAAGATCCTAAAGAGAGAAGAGCAGCAGTTATGGTTAAAGCTGCAGAGGCTGGGAAAAGCATTTGCAAAGCGTACTGAAGCTACGTCAATTACAAGAACAAGGTGATTGCACTGCGACCCCCAGACGGAACAATTACAGCGTCCAAAAAGGCAATGGGGAATACCATTCACGAATACTACGATCTCTTCAGTAGCCACGCCCACGTTCCGTCATATGAAATAAAGGAGGATGGATATGTTGTACCACTGGTTTCCCTTTCCAAAATCCGACATGCCATTTCGTCGGTGAAAAGTCGAACAAAACCAGGTCCGGACAGGATAAGACCATAACACCTGAAAAATCTTCTGCCAGTCCTCATAAACACACTGGCTCGGCTCTTCACACGTTACCTGTCTGAACGCAAGGTGGAAGACAAGCAAAACCGTGCTAATTGTTAAGAAGGGTGACCTTAACGACATCGGCAACTATCGCCCAATCTGATTGCTGTCTGTCGTCTACAAACTTTCCATTCGAGTCATTCTAAACTGGATTGACGGAACACTGGATGAAGGGCAGCCATGTAAGCAAGCAGGGTTTCGAAAAGGATTTAGTGCGATGGACCACATCTATACGGCAACAAACTCACTGAAGTATCGCGAGAGTACAAAAGACCGCTCTGTCTCACTTTCAACGATTTACAGAAGGCTTTTGATTCAGTTGAGATAGAAGCAGTCATGGAAGCCGCTGATGGTTAAGGAGTCCCTACTCAGTACATAAAGATTCTTCGTGAGCTGTACAAAAATTTCACAACCAAGACATCACCGTTCTACACCGACATTAATATTGACGTCAAAAGAGGAGTTCGGCAAGGCGATACCATCTCCCAGAAATTATTTACCGCCACTCTCCAGAACGTTATGCGAACATTGGAATGGGATAATGTGGGAGTGAAAATCGCTGATCGACAGTTTCGCTATCGACAGTCACCTTCGCTTTGGTGATGACATCGTCCTTATAACACAAAACACCAAACATTAGCCAAGCGAAAAGTATGCTTGCCAACTTTGATAAAGCCTGTGGAAAGACTAGTCTTCGACTAAATCTCACAAAAACGATATCCATGAAGAACAGATTGATTTCGTGTGCCCCATTCACGCTAAAGGGAACGAATATCTACGAATGCTCCAGTTATGTCTATCTAGGTCGGGAGATCAATATGATAAACGACTTAGCTCCAGAGCTGAGCAGAAGGAAACAAGTGACTTGGGGAGCTTTCAAGAGTATTGAAGATGTAGTGAAGAGGACAAGGAACAACAGACTGCGTGCCCACCTTTTCGACTGGGCGGTATTTCCTGCTCTAACGTATGCGTCAGAAACCTGGTCGCTCCGTAAGCAGAATGTAAGATCACTT